GGGATTATTCCCTCTCCTGTCCTTCAAAATCTTTTTAAGACAGTTGAATGGAAAACCATGTCTTTCAAATGTTTCTTATTTTTATTTCTTCATGAACTCTTCTGCCATTTCCCCACCATTCTTTTCTGAAAGAAAAGGAATTTCTCAACACTTCTCTCTCATAATGCAGTGTTAAGAGGTTGGAAAGGTCAGGAGGTAGCATTTTTCATTACTGGGCTTAGATTAAATAGATGATTGGAAATAGTCTTGTTCTGGTTATATTTAACCAAAGAAATATGGAAATTACTACTGCACCTATTTCCAGCCCTATTGGTATACATTCAGTAGAGCATGACCAATAAATGGGTTTCAAAGACAAACCGGCTTCCTGAGTCTTAACAACAGGTCCTTGTAGGACAGAGCGCCACGTGTTCAAAGATAAATAGAAAACTCTCTTTCCTTTCTGCCAGGGCCTGGGAGATGAGGCAGGGGAGCTCCTGAGAAGGCTCAAAAGCTTGAAAATGTGCATGTGTGGGTAAACCTGGGCAAGGGAGTGCTACCTGCGAGCACTTGAATAGCATCTCATACTTCTGATCCTCAGTCCCGGAGCTGAAGGCAATTGTCTGACTTTACTGGGGCTTTGAATTTTCACCTGTTTACATATAAACTATGCCTGGGTGAAGGAAACTACAGAAAGTGGCGGGCAGTGGATGAGAGGTAAGACATGGGGATACCTAAATGCTTTTTGTTCTCTCCGGGCAGCGACAAACAGGCTGAGGAAGCCTGTGTTAGCTGATTGTCTCCAATTGTCTCTGTGTTTTTTTCCCAGGCTTCTGCAGTGTTTGGAGACATGTAATTTATACCCTGCACAGGCTGTTCCTTTGACTCCAGGTCTGGACAGTGGCAGTCAGAGATTACAATGACTTTGACGACATTTGATGACTGTGGGGTGTTTGGGTGAAATGACTTGCTCTCAGTCTAAATAAATCATAGAATCATAGGTTGGGAAAGATCTATAAGAACATGAAGTCCAACCAAATCTCCTCATTGCGTGCTCACAGCAGGGTCTTTGGGAGAGCAAGGGAGTGGGGCGACAAACTATATCTTGTGGTATAGCTCTGCCCACTGCATGTGAGGTTATTTGGTGAGGTTTTGCCTCAGGAAAACCAGTGCTATTCCTGGTGCAGTGGTGCAGAGAGGCTCAATCGGATATATTCAGGCTTTACTGCAGTACCTTTAAGCTCTTGGATAAACCCCATTGATTTCGACTACTTGTATACTTAAGCAGAGGGTAGCTTTTTGTGCCGGGTTGGACTGGTGCTATAATGAACACTAAATAACTTGAAATCCTTCCTTTCCTCCTTTTTTTAAAGCTGTCAATATTTTATTTTTAGAAAGAGCACAAAGGAAGCAACGGTGAGGGGAAAGGGGAAACTGCTCCCAGTGCTAAAACCTTGTTCTGAGTTGTGGACATAATGACGAGATGGATTGCCTTTCCTAGTTCTGTAGACTAATGATTGATTTACCAGGAAATGGGATGTTATTACAAATGTGGGGCCTAATTTGGATTTTGTTGCTTGGGAGTTGCCTGGGTGGGGAAGGAAAGTGGGATCCAGCCCTTATTTTCGCTCCTCTTCTCAGTCTTGGGAATGCACATGTTCAAAAAACATTTGTCTCACTTGTTTTGCACGGTCTGCTCATCATTGCCATTTGCTGAAGCAGACCAAATACTCTTAGCACAGGGGAGCCCAGACTGCACACTTACTCTTCCCTGTCAGGCAGTAGCTACATTTTAGAAGGAAACCGCAGTACAAAAGTGGGATCTCAGGTTCCATGCAGCATATGCAAAGAAGTTTCATTTAAAATGTCAGGTTTACCTTGGCAGAGTCACTCTTTAGTAGGGATTAAGGCTGCAAAAACCACTGAATCATACTCTGTGTTTCCATCTGTGTGCCAGGTCACAAACATAAATTGTAATGTTGGCCCTCATCAGTCATCACATAACGCTCTGGCATACTTTTTCATTCCCCGAATATGAGTGGAATGAGAAGGTTACTTGGAAAGTCATCTGTCTGAGAAGCTGTCCTGCTACAATTAGCAGGCAATCTTGAATTTCATCTCTGGAAGATTATGAAGTGAAGAGTGGGGGAAATGGGATGTGTATGGTAGGATACCAGAGCCTTTAGTAAGCCCATCTGACCATGACCCAGAAGGCTGAAGCAAAAAAAGTTGGGGGAATCAGACAATGCTATTTTTCAAACAAAAATGTGTAAAGATGACCTCAAACAGCCAAGTTTGGATCTAGATATGAGTTTAAATTTCAAGCAATTCTAAACTTCAGGGATATTTAGAGGTGGGAGTTTGGTTTGGCTTGCATCTGGTACCAAAGAATCGCTTTTCTTTCTAAAGGCTTCTCACACGCCAGAGTCAATGAAAGGCAGCTCTTAGGTGGGAGCAGTAGAATAAGGGAAAATAGCAGACAACTGGATGGGGGTCGTAGCTGTAAGTTAATCAAAAGTTAATAGCGATGGCCTTGCAAGTTGTCTGAAGCTACCTTCTTCCTCTGCATCTCTTCACATCTGTAGGACAAGCCAAGGGCTGCTGTCCTTAGCCATGCTTCTGTCACAACACCTGCAAGTGTGCAGGATCTGATTTGGCTGTATATTTGAAAGACTGCAACAGCCAACCTAAACCACCCTGGTGCTGTAGTAAGGCAAGAAGAACCTTTTTTCATACAACTTATGTTTCTTTCAAATATGCAGAGGACATTATCCTTTCAACAGCTTTCAGGCAGACTGCAAAAGAAACTTTGTACTTCAAACTTTTATGAGAAATACACTCTGTCTCTCTTTTTTTTTTTCTTTTCTTGTTCAGGAAATGTGTTACCATTTTTCCGTTGGCTGTAATGTGGGATATTAGATGCTCTGAGAGGAAAATAAATGCTTAAAGCTTCCTTCCTCTGGCACTTCATTAACGCCAAGAAGGAGACTGGGTAGTGTTGCTTTAATTAGCAGTCTTTTGTTAAAAGAAGTGGTTGGAACTACCTGAATGCAGTTTTACCCAGCAAAAGAAACACAAAAATTACATCCTAGAACAGAACATTGCCTCTAGAAAAAGCAATGCTTATAATATATTTGGCTATATGTGTCATACTTCACAATTTTGTTCCTGACTCCTGCTGGGGACTGACTTAGGCCTTGAAACATGAGGATTGTGTTTCCTGTACTAACTAATTTAACTGCTTGATGACTTGGCGTCACTGCTTTTTTGCCCCCTCTCAAACCCATTGTGTAGTCTTTCGTTAGATAGGTTCATTAGATATTTTTGTCAGACTAGAAATTAACATATTTTTTATAGTGCTTCTGATTTTTCATTGCTCACTCATTTCTACCTGAACTGCTTTCCTTCTGTGTTTGCTATCAGTCCTTGCTCATATGAGGTAACACCGAAAATCACAGTGTTTGGGTACTGACAGGGTAGTGGTGTGTGTGAATATTTGATTTAAACCTGGGTAATACCCACAGAATTTCGCAGGTGTCCAGTGATGTGTAGAAGAACAAGATTTGGCTGCCTGAGCAGGGGTTTCTTTACCCATTGCCATGGTGGATAGTGTCAGCATACATAGAAAGGCATTGCTTCATATGTTGGGTGTACATCTCTCTGCAAGGCACTCCTATAGCATACTGTTCCACGAGAAAATTTTATCCTGAACCCTGGCAGTGTGTGCCTGGGTTGCTTTCTGAAGTATGAAGCTTTCTATTTCCTCTCTGTTTTTATCTTGCCATTATTATTGCTGTTTTTGTAATTTATGTAATTCTGGTTCAAGTTCCCGTGAGTTCTTCCCCATTGTTACAGTTCTGCAAGCACATACTAGGCAGCCAATTACAAAAGAACAGTTTCTAAATGGGGAGTATTTTGAACAAAAGAAGAAAACTGTAATTATTCCAATGAGGATCTGAGCAAGCCATTCGAATTAACAGTGCTGCCTTTCTAAATGTGCCACTGTTTTGATTAGCTTATGTGCTTATACAATCCCCGCCGTGGCAGTGACCGTAACTGAATGCCTGTAACCACAAGCAGAAAGCTATTACAGCCCATTCGCAAAAAAGCAGCTATTTCAGTTTTCTTCTCATTGAAAGTCAACAGTGTCCAAGTGATGCCAGCTACGTATTTGTTTCTGTGGGAGTGATATCTCTTTCTACCATTCAAAATACATTTTTTTGCAGAACAGTTTAATCTTGTTCTATTAATAATGGTTTTTAAAAGTGCATTCTTTGACACATTCTTTGGGTAGTGCCAAACATCAACCCTTGAGGCAGAAAAAACAACCCTAATTTTGCTGACCACTTGAGGGAGGTGGTGTATTGTCTGGAGGATGGAACTGAAACCAGCGTTGTTACTAGCTTGCAACAGAAATATCAAAGTTTTAAGTCTTTTGTAGGCGAAAGGGAACACTGGACTTCAGCAGTGACTGCTTTTCCTCACAAAGCCATTCCCCAGGCAGTCTACAACAATTCATTTGTGACTAAACAGTTTCTGCTTTCTGAAGGGCACACAGTTTACAGAATAAAGAAAAATTAAGTCAGACCAAGTAAAGGTCTTCATTCTCATCAGAAGCAAGTTAAAAAAAGCAAAATCTGAGGAAGGGTTTCAAAAGCTGACAGAACAAAATGTGAGATTTCAATAGACGTGCAACATATTTTTCAGAATAAGGATGTTTACTGACTGGCCTGAACTCAAGTAAAATTCTGAATGTAAAAGTTCTTCATTCCCCGCAATGAGTTCTGTGCAATACTCAGAGACCCGACCTTTCTTCCCTTCCTCTGGCTTCCTTTCCACTCCATGGATATTTGGCCTGGTGGTGCTGCAGAACGGCTGAAGCAAAGACAATTCAAATGTGAGACAACATCTTCCCCTCTGAAGGAGCTGGAGGTGAGCCTAGAGTTTGGGAGAAATTAGGAGCTGAAACATGTCAGAGCTGTTGTCAGGTCCGAGGTTCGGGCCCGCCTCCTCAGATGAAAATGGAAGAATACGCTGCGCAGAATGAGCAGCCCAGTATCCTGCATGGGGCACTGCATACAGCAGAGCCGCAGACGAAGGAGAAACCGCAGAAGCCCCGCTCATCCAACATGTCACCAATGGCGGCTGACTCCACGGCCTCTGAAGAAGGTAATGCAAAGTCCGGAGTAACAATCCTCCTAGAAAACAGAGCTAGAGTGGATTGAGAAGTGCAGACAGCAAAACTGACTCAAGCAGAACATCAGGTTTTATTTTCTGAGTAGAACAGAAGCTGCTGCATGTCTTTTCTCCTGTTTACAAGTCGCAGCTTAGTGTCTGGCCTCTCCAGAACAGGATGACACGGCTGATTTATACTCAGCCAGCAGTGCTTTTTAACCCTGGGATCCTCTTCCGTCCCTGTCCACCTAACCAGTTGTTCACCATCCTGCATCTGAGAAGCTGATTCCTCCTGGCTAAGTGCAGTACTTCACATTCTTCTTGGTTGAACAGCATCCTGTTTTTCTCATGTAGCTTCTGTTTTCAGGATCATTCTGAGCTCTTCAGCACGTCTGAAGCTCCACCCTTCCTATTGTCTGCAAATTTAATAAGGACTTTCTGGTTTCCATCACCTAGACTGTTCATGAAAATATCCTCACTGAAGGAGATTTCCCCCAAATGCTGGTTAACAGAGACTGGCTTAATACGAAACACATTTAATTGTTCTCCTAAAGCTTTATATCTGTCTACTGTAACTCAGGATATTCTGTATTTAATGTAAGCATTTTAATTAGCTGAATTTTCTGAAACATAGAGTATAATCTCTTCATGGCATGGGGTACTGAAAAAGTGGGTAAAGACTTTTCCAAATAAGTCCCTCTAACTGTGCATCCTGTTTTCTAATGAGGTGAACTGTCCCTTACAGATCATCAGGCTTCTTGCCTACAATACACTAGATTTAGGAATCTGTGCTCAATAGTTTGTGCTCTGGGGAGGGTTTATGCCTCTGTTTATCTGCCACTTTTACTCTGGCATTAAGTAGAGTTGGAACCCTGAAACAAAAAATAACTGTATGAGTTTGCAGATTACTAAGAAACTGAAGTCTTCTGGGAAGTGAGGGCTCCGAGTGACAATTTCAACACAAGTAATGGTCAGCCTCCATATTAATACAAACATGCTGATGAAGTGTCAGAAACAATATCCTGTAACTAAATAAGTTACAGTAGTCTTCTTTTCCTCACCAACAAAAAAGATTTTATCCTACACACTTACATTGTGTTGACTGCTCATTTTGACAAGGTCTCTGCTGTCCTACTTTTAGCTGGCAATATTTTAAGAAGCCAGAAAACCTCCCATTTGTTATCCTCTTGCTTTTTTTTCCTGCATTCTGTCTACTTAACTGATATTCTCTTCCATGACAACTCTTCTACCAGGAAGGTAGAACCCCCTTTTGTGTATTCACCCAATCAGCTATGACTGCTTTTATTTGAGTTCCTAAAATGCACTTCTGAAAGGACATAGGAGTGCTTGGTATTCCTATAAGAAGGTGACAGTTATAAGTTAGATGACTGACAGTGAAAAAAAAAAAAGAATACAAAATGTTTGATAAGTTCCATACCAAAAAAAGGGAGTCAATATGACTGTTTTAAAATATGCATAGTATATATTACTTCTTAATCTTGACCAAGACATGCCAAAAAAGTTTAAAAGATACAGATGAAATAAATACAGTTAAGTGGCTAGTAAATGGTACCTGCACATGCAGTACTTCCCAATGAGCTGTGGTTTTTGCAGGGTTTTGGTCTGAATTGTCTAATACAACCTTTCTTGATTATTGCCTTTTTTTACTGCCATAGTATTTCCATGTGATTGCTACTTTCATTGCTGTTGAATCTATCAATCAGGGATTTCTTGCGATTTTGTTTATAAAGATGAAGACCAAACAATCTGAGTTCACTCCCTACTTCAAAAAAACCTAACTTTTGTCATTCCTGGTAGATCAAATGCTCATATAACATACTTTAAGTAAGGAGATGGTTTTCAGTTGTTGAAGCCCTTTGGTAGGTATTAACGGGGCACTGGTAAAAATGTTTAGAAACCATTTGTGAGTTAAATTATTGTTTATTACATTAAAAGAAGAGCCAACAGCAGAAGGCTGCACCCATGGAGGGTGAAGGGTTCAGGTGATTTACATCTTCATTAAAAAAACCACAAGTAAAAACACCTTAGTCAAAGAATTCTGTTGTAAATATGGCTGGGAGTGGCTATGCGTTTTATTATCCCCTCTTTTGATTAGCTTGTTACTTTATACTCCACTGCAGATGACTAAATCAAAAGTTATATTCACATCTAGTTAAGCTAGTAGAGGGAAAATGGACATAGCAAAAGACTTCCGCTGTAAGCTCCTGTACGGTGAGACTTGTTACATCGAAAGCAGAAGCACAGGCTGTTACAATGCACTGCAGTGCACACAGTTTCCACTACTGATTGATGATATTTCCATATATAGCTGGGAGTAAGTCATTGCTTTTGAAAATAGAATTAAAACTTTCCCTTTTTAGGAGCAAGCACCACTTTGGCAACACAACCAGCCCCAAGTACATTAGTTCTTTTGGTCAAAACATTAACAGGGTACTTTGTTAACAAAATGTTCAGGTCATGATGAGGTCAAAGCATGAACTGTAAGAGTTTTTATGAGCTAAATGTTTCCAAATAACACTCCAAGTTGAAAGTGCTGAAATTAAAGCTTTTCTCCTGTAAATAGGGTGTTGCTGAGCTGAGTATATGTTCATTTTTTCGGTTACTCAGCGTAAGGTGATGGGACTGTGCAATGACACGTGTCTGCTGAGCAAAGACAGATGTCACCAGAAACATCTGGATGGTAACAACCTTCAAGGAAAAGATAATATAGACATATTTGTGTTGCCATTTTCTGTCTCTCTTTCTCACTTGGCAAGTATTTGCTTGTTTTCCAAAATGAAAACTCTGTGCAACAATGTATTGTCTTAATTGTAGACATGAATCTGATACTCTGATCTAGCTAGCAAAACAATAACTCTCCCCCTTATATTCGTACTTCTGGAGTCAGGTCTAGATTTGCAAATGCCTGTGGACGCTCATTCCCAGTGGGATGGACTGTTGGTAGGTGGGAGCTCACCAGCTGAACTGAAGGTAGCACTGGATACCCCATGACATTCCAGCAAAGAATGAGATATGATTTTGGATGCTGTTTTAACATAGAAATTCTTTTAGTTTGATACTACTTTTTCAGTGACACATTTTGTACTATGGAGAAGGTAGATCATAATTATATTTTACACAGTATCTATAGCTGTACAAGACAGTTCTCACACAACTAAATCCACTCCTTATTCCTCATAAGAACATAAAATAGCAGCAACAGTGCAAAGTATTAATGTGAGATAATTCTGAAAAGAAAAGACATGGCTAAAAGCATCTGAATTTTGAATAGAGAGGAACAAAAATAAATGCAGTTTCCGAAGTTTGCAGGCCTTGTCATCATGCACTCCAGACATTTCCAAAATTACACTTGGGTCTGTGCAATTTTCAGCTACCCCAAAACATTCCAGGTTTTGTTTTCTTGTAAGAAAAGACTCAAAACATGGGGAATGCTTATCCAAATATTTTTAGGCACATTCTTCTACCACCATGAATGAAGCATGACAATGTTAACTCTGAAAAACCCAGAACTGCTGCTTGCATCCAGAAATTCAATATTATTACGTATATGCATCTAATTTGCTTTGTAACACAGGAGAAAATTGGAAGGAAAACTGTTGAAATAAATGGCATTGAGCTAGAACTGAGCTGTCTGTTTTGCTTGTCAGGCCATCAGTGGCTTCACAGTAGAAATTACGACAGACTTCAGCATCATGGTCTTAATAGACAGGATCACAATTTTGGGGATTGCCCTGGGTTTTTGTCATGGAAGAAACGAAGTTGAAAAGAACATGAATTGGCATATAATTTGTGCAAGACCATGCTTTGGAGAATACGATATGAAGTTGCAGTGCTGAGTGGAGAGGGTTTTTTTTATTACATACACTTTATGGTGTAATCTAGATGGTTCTGTAGTTAGCATTTACTCTGCATTTAGCCCTTTATAAGAATGTAATGTGGTTAAGAGAAAAATCTGTTCTAGTGATTCAAAAGCAACAACATCTCAAAAAAGAGCTGAAAACAAATGCTTTCCATTGTTTATTTCTGATCTCCTGAATTAAAAGTCATGTTCAGACTAGTATACAGAATAAAAAACTACATTAAACAAAGATAGTATCAAATATAAATTTCACTTTCTTTGCTGTGCTGTTGCAAAATTTTTCACAGTGGTCCAAACAATCTAAAATGAGATCTAGCTTTAACAAAAATATAATTCCATCCTGCTCCTCATTCCTAAGTACAAAATTGTGTCTTTCATTCTGGACCTTGTTCAGTCTGAAAAATGATTCGGCCTTATTGACATGCTAATTAAAAAAAATAACCAAAAAACCCTAGACGGAAGGGGGAAATCTGAGGAATCGCTGACAGAGCCATGCACAGTGAAAGTGCCAGCATAGATGGGAGGCTGCTCTTTGGGATTGGTATTTTAAAATTTTGTCTCTGACTTCTGTTACTTCAGTACACTATTTTGAGAAATTGAAAAAGGCAAAGGCGAAGAACTACATTTGGAATACATACCTAACTATAGCAGTGGTGCAGATCTGCAGCTGCGAACTGGTACAGCTGCTGTCACGAGAGATAGAGCTGTAGCTGTGCATATATCCATGCTGGTGCAGCCAAGCTACCTGTGGTTGTGTTAGCTGGATATATGTGTCATGGCCAACCCACCATGCAAATCCTGAGGAGAATTCCTGGACTGGAAAAAGCTACAGCAGCTAGATGTGGAGTGTCCCCCCTACCACTTAGCGTAGTGTGGGAAGCATGTGTGATTGTCAGCCTGTGGCAATACGGTGAGCAAGAGGAATAGAATTATATGGATACGACTGACCACTCTTTATACAGTATAGATGCTAAACGTGGTTTTGGAGTCTCAAGGAATTATTTCTGCTTATCCAGTTCTGGGTGAAAACACTTGTACTGCAGTTTGGAGTGGCATAATAGCTACTTCACATCATGCCAGCTAGAGAGAGATTGTGTAACCTGTGCTCACAAGT